TCTTCATTTATCATCTTCATCTTCAAGTTATTGTCACTAAAAATGTACTATGTACAAATTAATAATGTTTGTTTTCAGTATGGTTGGCATTGTATTAAAGCTTGTCTGCTTACAGGAACTAGATTATATCATTTTGAGTTTCAATTGAGATGACAGACAGCAATAACTTCATATCCATATTATTTGTTACATATCTGGATTGAGTTGAAGCACATTTCCAGGTGTCATAATCAATGAATGATTAGTTGCATATAAACACTGTTACCATGGTGATTTTATCTCGACAGAAAGTCAACTTTCCCTACCAAAAGACCTTCACATGAGAAGACACAGCAGTCCAATGCCGCTTCATTACCATGACAACAACTTGAACCTCGAAGATGTATTTATGGAAAATGTCAAATTAGGTACAAGTTATGGAAGTACAGAGAGTGACGATGATTCTTTGAAACGATTGTCTTATGAGGATAGTACAAGTGGATCACCTAAATCCCCGTCATCTTTATTGGGACTACCCGGAATTCTGGATATTGTTGCTCCTGACGGAAAATATGGAAGGAAGGACTTGAGGGTGAGTGAGATCAGTTTTTTGGCTCACTAATTGGTTCACTAATAGGTTCACTTTTTGTAAACTTTAAAGTTTCTAAACATTGTTAAAAACTAAAGTAACTGATTGACACTAGAGGGAGCACTGACGTTACACTGGGGTCAATTTTGTTTAATGCCCACACACTGGTGTCAATTTTGTTGAATGCCCACACACTGGGGTCAATTTTGTTGAATGTGCACACACTGGGGTCAATTTTGTTGAATGTGCACACACTGGGGTCAATTTTGTTGAATGTCCACACACTGGGGTCAATTTTGTTGAATGTCACACACTGGGGTCAATTTTGTTGAATGTCCACACACTGGGGTCGATTTTGTTGAATGTCCACACACTGGGGTCAATTTTGTTGAATGTCCACACACTGGGGTCAATTTTGTTGAATGTCCACACACTGGGGTCAATTTTGTTGAATGCCCACACACTGGGGTCAATTTTGTTGAATGCCCACACACTGGGGTCAATTTTGTTGAATGCCCACACACTGGGGTCAATTTTGTTGAATGTCCACACACTGGGGTCAATTTTGTTGAATTTCCATACACTGGGGTCAATTTTGTTTAATGCCCACACACTAGGGTCAATTTTGTTGAATGTCCACACACTGGGGTCAATTTTGTTGAATTTCCATACACTGGTGTCAATTTTGCTGAATGTCCACACACTGGGTTCAATTTTGTTGAATTTTCATACACTGGGGTAAATTTTGTTGAATGCCCACACACTGGGGTCAATTTTGTTGAATGTCCACACACTGGGGTCAATTTTGTTTAATGCCCACACACTAGGGTCAATTTTGTTGAATGTCCACACACTGGGGTCAATTTTGTTGAATTTCCATACACTGGTGTCAATTTTGCTGAATGTCCACACACTGGGTTCAATTTTGTTGAATTTCCATACACTGGGGTCAATTTTGTTTAATGCCCACACACTGGGGTCAATTTTGTTGAATTTCCACACACTGGGGTCAATTTTGTTGAATTTCCATACACTGGGGTCAATTTTGTTGAATGCCCACACACTAGGGTCAATTTTGTTGAATATCCACACACTGGGGTCAATTTTGTTGAATTTCCATACACTGGTGTCAATTTTGCTGAATGTCCACACACTGGGTTCAATTTTGTTGAATTTCCATACACTGGGGTCAATTTTGTTGAATGCCCACACACTAGGGTCAATTTTGTTGAATATCCACACACTGGGGTCAATTTTGTTGAATTTCCATACACTGGTGTCAATTTTGCTGAATGTCCACACACTGGGGTCAATTTTGTTGAATATCCACACACTGGTGTCAATTTTGCTGAATGTCCACACACTGGGTTCAATTTTGTTGAATTTTCATACACTGGGGTAAATTTTGTTGAATGCCCACACACTGGGGTCAATTTTGTTGAATGTCCACACACTGGGGTCAATTTTGTTTAATGCCCACACACTAGGGTCAATTTTGTTGAATGCCCACAAATCATGCAATCATTACAGTATTTATTTTCCTTGATTTTAGATTCGTAGTGATGATGTCGGTTTTGGTTTTGTTGTTCGTGGTACAAGTCCTATCTATGTACATACCGTGGATCCAGCGGGACCCGCTGCTGCCGCTGGCCTTAAGGTAAAATATACAATAAAAGAGTACTATGGTATTAACAGTGGCATTTTATTGCGAAATTTGCATACCGTAAATTTTTACTGATTGTTGTCAGTTGTTGTCAACGTACTTTACATTTTCGACTTCTTCTTAAAAAATGTAAGCTGCATGGGTGTCACTACAAATGTACGTCGGTTTGTCGAACTTGTGAATTTTTGATCATTCTAGTCTAGTGCGTTGTCATGTTTATTTGCTTTCTATTTTTGAACACAACGGAAACCAAGTGTCACACTTTCTTTCAGTCAGCTGGCAAGTGTTTAACTTGTTAGTCCCCGTTCGGACGAAATCCGAAAACGGGGACTTATAATTCGGTCTCCATCTGTGCGTCCGTCCAGAGTCATATCTCAGAATCCCTTGGACCAATTCCGTTCATTCTTTGCATGTGCCTAGTACTTTATGTGGAACATATGCACGTGCAGTGGTTTAGCGAATCGATTCAAAATGGCCTACTGGTAGCCATCTTGTTTTTTGAAAATGTTGTATTTTGGACATACTTTGTCAGTTTTCATTCAAACTTGGTACATAGATTATACATGTTAGGATACATGTCCATGACGATTTATTTATTTCAAAGATGGCCGACTGGCAGCCATCTTGTTTTTTGAAAATGTCGTATTTTGGAAGTTTTCATTCAAATTTAGTACATAGATCATACATGTTAGGATACATGTCCCCGACCATCTGTGAGTTCCTGAGTCTGTCCCTGTGTCCGTCCGTCCGTCCGTGCGTCAGTCTGTTCAGAGTCATATTCCAGAATCCTGTGGACCGATTCCGTTCATTCTTTGCATGTGCCTAGTACCTTATGGGGGACATATGCACATGCAGTGGTTTAGCGATTCGATTCAAAATGGCTGACTGGCAGCCATCTTGTTTTTTGAAAATGTTGTATTTTGGACATGCTTTGTCAGTTGTCATTCAAACTTGGTACATGGATTATACATGTTAGGATACATGTCCATGACGATTTATTTCGCAATTGGATTAAAGATGGTCGACTGGCAGGCATCTTGTGTTTTTTTTTATGCGGTATCTTGGACGTGCTCTGTCAGTTTTCATTCAAATTTGGCACATATATGTACTTTATACATGTTAGGATGCATGTCCATGACAATTTGTTTCAAAATCTGGTCAAGGATGGCCGATAGACAGCCATCTGACTTTTTGGCCTTACTACTATATTTCCACAATTTATGTACCATTTTCATTCATATTTGGCACATACATCATGCATATCAGTGTGTTTCATAATGAGATCAAAGATGGCCAAATAACGGCTGTTTTATTTTTGGCCATATTACTACTACACGGAATACGTGTTTTGATGTAAATAAACAATCTGTTGTATACGCCACTTGGAACTCAAGTTTCAAGGACACGCTCGTGACAACCCCTCCACTTTAATATGACGAGCACAAAGAGAACTTTCAAAAATTTAACGGGGACTGTGTCATTTTCAATGACTTGTTAATTAATGAACACCAGAAATAGTAAATGTGCATAACAGGTTGAGAATAAAACTTAAAAGATTAGATCAGCTGAGATGGGATGGGATGTCTTCAGAGTTGTGGTCAACATATCCCGTTACAGGATAGCCCTGAGTATAGTCCTGTAGGTTCTCAGTTGTGTATAGATGGATTTTGTTCCAACTTGGTACATGTACATACATTAAACATAATGAATGCCTACTTATTTGGATCTGTACTAAAGCCGTGATGTACGAGCAACATGTGGATCCCTTATGCCAGATGTGTACCACAGTCTCATTATCACAATGGAACATGACACGTTTACCAAACCATGAATACCCCCAAA